GCGATTTCCTCAGCCTCTCACTGGAGCGGTTAAAGGGAAGTCTTCACCCCTGTGCTGGTCTGCTCCTGACACTCCTCCATCCCCTCCTGCTACGGCAGTGCAAGCGCTTGTCAGGCTGTGCTGTGAACTCAATTGCTGAAATGATCTGGGTTAAAAATAACCTTGTAAAGAGTTAAGGGATGTATTTTTAGCCCAGATCATTTCAGTGATCTAGTTTACAGCACAGCCCCACAAACTCACACTGGTGCAAGGGAGGGAGGGAAGGGGGAAAGGAAAGGTCAAGGGAGAATGAGCAGTTGGAAACATAAGCTGTCTTTCTGCCAAAACCAGGAGCTTATGAAACTGCACCCCAAGAGCACTGACCCTCTCTTGTTTTTATCTGGCATACTCGCAGCTCCCTTCTTGGGGCACAGTGTTGAGAGCTGGGTGCTGAGTACCACTATTCCTGGATCCTGTTTGTGTAATCAAGACACAAGCCCTGAACCTCGGATGCGTCATTGTGTCTGCCTGTGATATACTATATTTGTCATTATTTTTGCCGTATTCGCTTTTGCTGAGGTAGGTTGCGTGTGCAGCAACAGAAAACCCCATGAGAGTCATGGGGGAGCTTTGCAGAGCTTGTGCAATTGCAGGGTATGGGAAGGTGGCTGGCAAAAAGGACTGGTGTGAGAAGGGGCTTCAGGGAATCATTCCTGTGAAGCTCTTTAGAAGCAAAGGAAAGATATGGAAGTCATGGACGGGCCTCAAAACCATGTCTAGATGAAACTGCATGAGAATGAGGGTGGAAAGTGCACAGGACCAGTACCAACAATTGTGTAACCATCTCTGATTTCATAGCTGCTGAATACTCGAGCCTTGCAAAGTGCTGTGGAGGGCTTGCATCTGAGATAAAAGGTGCTCCATCTGGCCAAAACATCCTATCTGCAAAAGCAGACAAGTCAGAGGATTCATAGGGGAGGGAAGGAGAGTAGGACAGTACAAATCTCTGCTGTTATTCAGCTGGTATTTAAGTTCTGCTTACGTCAAAACACTCCACTGTATGGCAGCTAATAGACCTTTGCTCTTTTCATCAGACAAACCAGGTACACAATTCTCCTTCAGTATCTGCTTCTGACCCCCACTGGTACCCTTTCAGACTGGTATTTTCAGTAGCATATTATGGACAGTAACAAATCTGGTGGGATACCAGTTCCATGAGATGGAGTTATGATAGCTTTCAATTGCAAGGGGGTGAGTCATGGCCAAAACTGCTGGCTGAAGGTTGTTGGAGACAGTTTTGCACCAGTCCCAGCAGGACATTCAAATTCATCCCCAAAATCACCCCTGGCTTTCCGGATTTCCCCAGGAGTCTTTGCAATTTTGATTTCATAAGGAACTTGTTGTCTGCAGTGACACTCCCCACCTGTAGCTTAAATCCATGATCTTTAAGAAAAGCTCTTGGTGAGCACCCAAACAGGATGCACAGAGAAACTCTTCAGTCTCTTGACCATTTTCTGTGGGCCTTTAATATCAACCTTCTGTCACCTGGTGCCCACAGTGGGTCCACAGGCTCCAGCAAGAGAATTGGCAAATGTCACTGAGCCAGGTAATGACACTGCTGTCCTGAGGGCCCCCCTCTGTGAGACATTATTACTCCCACATCAGGCATCCTTACTAGCCCTTGCATTTTCTGGCACATTAAAGCGCCAGTGAAGCTGAGATTGTTCTTCTCCAGTGCTGCCAAAGGGAACAGGTTCAGCTTTAAAAGCAGATGAAGAAAGATGGAGTTGAAAACCATTTTCAAATGTACTCAACTGTATAAACTTACTTGGAAGAGGAAAGTGAAACCCCTTACAGAGAACTTGCTAGTTGCACTTCCTCTTTCACAGCTAGTGCCATGCTTACATGGATGGTGTAACTCAATTCCTGTTTTGCCACTCTGTCTTCATTTTTCAGAATATGCAATGCTTAGACACTTATTTTGGCAGAACAGCAAAAGACCTCAGAGTAGCAGTCACCAAATTACTGATGGAGTAAGTCTTTTACCTTAGCTTGCTGGATTTAGCCCATACAGGTTGACCACGCTTCTCTTCTGAAAAGGAAAAGAATCAGCAGTTGGCTGCAAAGAGCACAAAATCAACATATAAGTAATTTTGCCCTTTTTGCCAAAAAAGAGCAGAGCTGCTCCTCTTCACCATTCATAAAAGTGGTGGGCTATGTCACCGAGACAGGAAAAATGACCAGGAATGCGACAGGTTGCATTAATATGATGGGCAGGAGAGAGCCAGCACTGAGCTCTTGGGTGACAGGAGCAGACACGTGTCTTAGTCATGGAAGAGGCTCAGGGCTGGTATACACACCAGGGTGAGAGAGAGAAATTGAGGCTTCCCAGCTTCCTCCCAGTGGGAGGGAGACTGCCAGTCCAGCCTCTGGAAGTCAGGGGAACCATGTTCTTGGTTCAGTGTGGGGAAGGGAACTTTTTGCACCCGAGTGCCCCAGTACAGCACTTTCCCTTCACTAGAAGATACAGAGCCTGGCACACCAGCTGGGGGGAAAAGAAAAAAAAAAAAAAAAAAAAGGAAGCTGTAGAAAAAGCTGGATACAGGATGACAGTGTAATTGCCAGAAAGGACCTGAGAAAGGACTTTTCCTATTGCAAAATGTGTAGCGTAACTGGAGAGTTGGAGAGTCTGCAGCTGGCAGTTTCGGGAAGACAGAGTCGGTGGGCTACTTGTGCTAATCTTAGAATGGCATGTCCACTGCTTCCTGCGCCCCAACCGGCGAGCTTCACGCTGGCAAGAGCTGTGTTGCCATCAATGCCTGCTACCAGCAAAACAAGAAATGCATGGAATCATTCCAGCCTCACAGCATTGATCAAATCTAAAGAAAGGAAGCTGTGTTTTCAGACTGTAACTCAAAAATACTAAAAAAAAAAAGAAAAATTTTAAAAAATTGAAAGAAAAAACAACCACCCTAAAACAAGAGGTCAAAGAGGCCAAGAGGAAGTGCATTATCTTTTCTGGGTAAAGGCAAAGGGCTGTGAAAGAAGCTCTTAGAGAAAAAGGGACTATGAGGGAGGCAATCCTTCCACCACAGACACTGAGCACCTGCAGCTCCTCAGCCTCAACTGAGTCCTCGGTTCAGGTGTCTGTTCTGCCATGCCCAGGTATTCTGGGAGCTGGTGTGCTGAGCCAAGCCTCCCAATCCATCCTGCCTTCCTCAGGTTCATTCTTTGCTCCCTCCTCTTTCCAGCCTGCCCTCCCCTCATGGTGGGGAGCCAGCCTGCAGCTGGGAACCACTCTCCCTGCCCACTTAGCCCAGCCATCATTTTTTGTGTGCAGCAGGTTGCCCTGCTGATCTGCTTAACTCACTGTTTTTTCCATTCCCCTTATCTGCCACTTCCCCTGCCTGTAATTCTTCTAATGAAGGCTGAAAAGATGGGGGGGGGGAAGATGCTAGAAGTTCACTGAGAGGAAACAGCTTGCTATGGCTTTTGTGGCTGGATGCGGGAAAGCGGGTCTGAAGTACATGGGAAGTTTACTGGGGGACATGTAGTCAGGATCCTGGAAACAGGGAATTGCAAATACCTACTGGGGCTTGAGGGCCTGGGAGAAAGAAGATAATATTTATTGGGAGCATTTATTTACAGCTTTTTGAGAAAGGGAAAGGCCTTTTTCCACAGTGCAAACAGGCTGCTCTCTACCAGGTATTTCAGACTAGAGAGTGCTCCAATCTGCAGATGATGAGATGATCCTTAATGTAACCTCCTCAATTTGCTTTTAATCTAGAAACTAGGAGTCTAAATAAATCCCTTCTTTAATATGATTTCAAGTTTCTTCAACTATGTCTCCATCCCCCATAGCATGGTGACCCAAAGGAGATGGTCCATAGATGGGCCAGATTGGTGTTCCACCTTTCACCTTCAGCGATGCTGAGGGAGTGGTTGTGTTAACAAGACAGTAGGTCCCTCCCAGGCAGAGTGACATAAAGGGAGAAGGAAGGGCTCTCCTGGAGCCTTTGGAGAAGCATAAATGCATTCATCTAGCAACAGCCTTTGGGAAAACTTTCTGACAGAAGCAGAAGAGTATGCAGGCAGAGGGGTGAGAAGTGTGGTGCTGGCCATGTGTTCATGGTGGTGGTACAGGGAGCAGAGGTTCCTTGCTGATGGTTTGTAGCCTGGATTGTTGTTTTGAGGTCTCCACCTCTAACAAAACAAGGATTGTTGGTTAGTTGTTCGCAGTTCCTCTGGTTCGGTTTTCCCTGGCATCAGATACTAGAGATGAAGAACAAAGACTTCCTTTCATCAACTTTGATTTCAAGGCTTTCTACTCATGTTGCTTGATATACACATAGCAAAGTAAACAAGGTAAATGTGGGATGACACCAGGGCTGCGTGCTGTGGGACGAGCTGTGCCATCCAGTCTCCAGCAAGCCTCCTGCATCTCAGCCTGTTATCATATCAGGGGAGGGGAAGCTTCTCTCAGCCCTGGTATTTCCTCCCTCCCCCCCCACCCGCCTGAGTATTTCACTGCCAAAAAAGCAGAACAGCACAGGGACATCCCCAAGCAGATGCTGGCTTGCTGCAAGGACAGGGAATGGCTTCTTGCAGCAGAACCACTGGAAAAGGAAGGGTGCCGGTGACCAGGGCAGTAAAAAAAGGATGGGAGGGCTGAGAAGGTGTATGGGAACATCCTTTACTGCTTGCTCCATCTGCTCACTGTGAGGAAAAGATGGGGAACAGACACTTGGCTTGAAACACTTAGTTTGCTTCCAGTGAAAAATACTGAGTGTAGGCTGAAAGGCTCTGCATGAATTACTGATTTACTGGGATATTTGAAAATTCTGCTAGGTCCTGTCTTCCCAAACCTCTTGCTCTCAGACTGGATGATTGATGCCAGATGTGAGAAATTCTGCTTTAAGTCCTTGCTTACTCTTGAACTTTATAACACATACGCAGGCTTTTCCCTAGCCTGCTTGCTTTTCCCAGCCTTTGCTCATAACTTCTTGTTTCTGATTTGTTAGAACAGGCCAGCAGAGACCAACTCAGAGGTGGACAAGTCGGCATCACCCTCAGTGGCTCAGCTAGCAGGGAAATTCAAAGAGCAAGCAGCCAATATCACTGGAAAAGAGGTAAGGAGCTCTGCAGCCACCAGCAGGTAACTGAGTGGGAAATGAGGCACTTGCCTCTGCCTGAGAAGTTAGAGCATCAGGGATCTGAGCATGAATCCACCTTGATTTTGAATCTTCACAAAGGATTTGTCTCCTAGTGCAATGCAAACTATGACAGTGTCTTCCATGCGTTGTTGACTTGTGGACAAGTATTTTGGTAGAGCCATACCTCAGGACAACTAGACACTGTAACTGAGACACACACACAGGGTACACATATATGCTTAACAGTAGCAAACAGTAATGCATGTACTATCTGGGCTGGCTTTTGTGGGCAGACGGCAACAATGAATAATGAAATAGCTAATATTGAGCCATGGACAAAGAAAACAAACAACAGATTATGCAGTGTAGAAGCCAGTGGCAGGTCACCGGCACCTTGTTCACAAAAGAAGGTTTCCTCCAGGTAATTCCTTCTGTACAGGTCTCAGAGAGAAAGCTGTCTCTTTACTTGGCCTTATTACCTCTTCCCTATGTCATTTCAGAGTCTGTGCCTCTCTCTATCATGCTGAAACTTTGTTTTATTGAAAACCCACAATGCCAAGCATTACCTCACAACCTGTCTTTCACCAAATAAGCAAAATACTAGAATACATCTCTTAGGAAGAAAGGCGAGTCAGAGTCTTTATGGATGGAGCTTGACATTTTAGGAGAGCCCCCTGTATCATTATGCACTTTTTTAGAATTGTAAATGTTTACTAGTGGCCCTCTTCAGTCAGTGGGTGCCCCTTTAAAACTGAACTGCTTCCTTCTGCTGCTCAGCTGATTTCAGCATGTCCCAGGCTGGGCCTAAGGGGATCCTCCCTGTCACCACTCCTGTTTTTGGCTGGATGCAGTGGTGACCTCTGTCCAGCAGGGCTGGCATGCAACCATCAGAGGTTAGCAATCCCATAGCTGGGCCCCAGGATGGCAATATCCAATCTCTTCCTAACCACTTTTTTTTTTCCCCTCTAGTCACCAGCACACCACTCCATCTGTCCCATTACAGTAATTTCCTCTTTTTAAGGTATGGGATTTAATTGCAGTAAGTCCCTCACCCTTAAGAAGGCAGCAAGTTCCCAGACCCCTCTTGTGTTATCTGCAGACCTCTGCTGCTCCCAAGCCAAGGCAGCGTGGAGGGGCCTCACAGTGAGGGGAAACTAATTTTCTCCAGAGACAGAAGAGGACAAAGTTTCCTGCCTTTTCTCTCCAAGCCATCTGTCACTTCCCCACCCGCTTTCTCAAGCTGGCTTCAGATTAATGGATGAGTAGATGGTCTTTAACCCTTGCTTGACCCATGCCAGCAAAGGGAACCTCTGATACATTCACTGATGCACAGCACAGCATTGCATGGTTGCAAAATGGTGGGGTTTCAATAAGACATGCTATTATTGCTGGCTAGCATGACATAAGAATAAGGGCAGGGCTGCCTTTGGCTGCTTAGAGACACAGCATTGCCATGGGTGGTTGCAGCACTACCAGAAGTTAAGTGACACCAAGTCTCCAGGTCCTCCAAGACAGCCAACTCTACAGAGGGCAAAGATGCCATAATCCAACTTTTTATATGCCTGCCTGTTAGAAGGTAACAAAATTATCCAAATATTGTGTTGTGGATGTTATCCAAGATCCACAGTATTATCTGAGTATTTTGTCTGTTAACAGATAAAAAGTGCGTTAACAGCTTGGCAGGAGGCAACACAACTGGCATAAAAATAGAGACTGCTTGTTATCAAGACTAGAGCAATAGTTATGAAGAAGCAACTCCATAGGTACTGTGTTATGTGTCTCTTCCTTCCTAGTGAGCACTGTCATACTTCTGAGAGCCTGAGGACATTCAGAAGGAACTGGTGACCCTGCTGTTAAGTTGCCTTGTTCCTTCTCTGCTGGAGAATCTGTTTCTTAGTCAAATTAAAGGTTACATCTGAGGCCCTGTTTCTGTCAGCTGCTCTTCTTCATTAGAGAGAAGCAAATGGGGCTGTAGGGCATGTTGAGAAAGTCAGAATTCCTCTTTTTGCCCCTAAAATATATCAAATGCAAAATAGGAAAATCAGTAACCAGGTAGGCAGTGGAGACTCATTAAAAGGAAATCCTGGTAATAAGACAGGAAGGAGAACAATAACAACATATTCCAGTGTGAGGGGCTTTCCAGCAGGATGCTTTGAAGATGAAGTTTCTAGGAAGTCTTCTCCATCCTCCACAGCACAGAATAGTGTCCTTTGCACAGAGCCTGATGTGTCACGGTTCATGCTGTGGAAAGAGGTACAGACTGCTTTTGCAACACTAGGATTGGCCTTGAGATGCTGCAAGCACAGCTAGCGTGCTGGCCACATGCCCGTATGCTAATACCTTGTGCTGCCTTTGGATGCCTCCTTTAGGCAAGCTAAGCCCTGCCATCCAAGCAGATCACTTACACAGCATGCCCTTTGATGCTTGAATTTCACTTCTTTTTTTTTTTTTTTTTTTTTTTTTTTTTTTTAAATAATTTCCCTGCTGCTGAGTTGGTTGTTTTCTTCTCTTAGGTACCACCACATAAGCCAACTCGGAGGAAACCACCATGCTCCCTTCCATTGTATTCCCACAAAACTGAGACAAGTGACAATGATGAGCAAGTGAGTATCAATTTAACAGGGGGACAAGGTCTCTCCTCTCTGCAACCTGTTCCGTCCTGAGACATGAGTTTGGTGATAGCAGAGAGGTCAGGCTGTGCTGCAAAAGACATAAGTCATGCAGCTTCAAACCTTCCCCTGCTCACACACACGTACTGGCTCCAAGTCAGCTCTATGCTGTTTCCCACTCCTGTAGCATGGATACACATCCCATTCCTATTGCTTTTGTTTTTACCCTACGAGCACTGATGGATCCACCCAGTTACCACCTTTAAAACATTTTAAAGCAGGAACTGCTGGCATTTATTAGATTTGAACAGTGCTTAGCACAAGGAGAATCCATGCTGTTTGTTGCCTTCAGATGAACTCTAGATGTTTGAGTATAATGGTGTAATAGTTCTGCTCTTGAGATTTTTCCTTCTTCAGAAAAAGGGAATAATTAATCCAGAGTGAAGAGGTGTTTTGTCAGCAATACCCACAGAATACTGTCTTGAGGTGTTCCCCATACAGCACCCCTGAATGAGCAGGTCCCAGTAAGCTGGCTGTACTCACTAAAGTTTATGCTCAGGCCCTTTCCAGTCACTTCTGTCATTCTGTATTTCAAGGTATGAGGATACCCACCAACTTTCACATTGTCACCTGCCCTTAACAAGGGAGTGGTTCTTTGTCCTCCCTTACTGACAGCTACAGGCTCTTGCTGCCTCTACTCCAAAGGAGCACAAGCTTTAAAATCTTAGATTCCTTCTTTTTCCTTTGGACCTGAAAAAAGCAATATGCCCCTTCTCAAAGCAATGCTCTCCCTTTCTCAAACTGTTTTCAGCCTTTCACAGATCTACCTTTCCTGCCACTTACACCTTTCCTGCCCATACTATTGGATACCCTTTAACTCTGTTAGTCAAGTGGTGGCAGAAAGTCTTTCCCATCACAAAAAGTTCACAAGGTTTACCAACATTAAGGCTTGTACCCCTTAAGAGCTAGAATTTTAATCTGTCCCGTCCTGAAATAATACCAGGGGAAACTGTGTCATAGGTTAGATACCTTAGTGAAGGCCATGTAGCAGCAGAGCCATTTCACATCACCTAACTCAGATACTTCAGCCAGAAACCAGACAGTCACCTTTTCTCTCAGAGGAAGGATACATGTAAGTAGAGCCCTAGGATGGATAGATAACAAAAAGAGAGCAGGGTCAGGAAAGAGAAAGCAAATTTTTGTGTGAAGATGCTATATGAGGCTTCATGTGCTCTTCTACTATCACTTTCTGCTTCTCTCTTACAAGTTTTCTGCCTTCATTATATTTCCTCTTTTTCACCTACTTTACTGTGACTTTTTCATGTTTCATTTTGTTTTGCAGAAGCGGTCTCCAAATGCTTGCCCCTTTCCCAAGGTCAAGGTGAAAAGCTCTCCCATGATTGAAAAGCTGCAGGTAGGTCCTGGAAGAGCCCATAGGGCTGCCCCAGCAAATTCAAACTGATTGGCATTTGTCATGGCTACTTCCCTTGCAGAGCAGCCACAGGGTAAGGGGATCCAGGAGCCAAGGGTGACAGCTAGGTAAGCAGGGCACTGGCCTCATCGACCAGAGCCCAGTCCCACAATACACAAACAAGGAAGGCAGAGCAGGTCTGGTGATGGTAGCCAGCATCAGCAACAGTGCAGCCACCCTCAGGCACATCAGTGCCTGTGTCAGGATCATTTGGATCTGCGGGGTACATGGCTGGGCATGGCAGCAGCACAGCTGAGATAGGGAGCAGGGGCAGAAGCCTCAATGTAAATGCAGCTTGCAAGAGAAAGTGTGGGAAACCCTGGCTGAAATGTCTTCCAGCTCTTTTTTTGCAGTAGTCTAAGTCAAACTGTGTCACCTGCAGCCTGTCGGGGAGCTGGCCTTGACTGCAGGAAGCTAAAATCCTGGCAGTGGGGAGTGCGCTCTGGGCTCTGGCACTGCCTTACGTGTGCCTAGAAGCTCTGTGCTTCCCTTGCCTTGGTTCCCCCAGTTACACACAAACACACCCAGTGCTTCTTGCCCTTTTTATATCTCTCTGCAGTGCCTGATTCTTGCTGCTGAGGGCAACACAGCACTCGATAGCCCATAGACATAGTGCCCTGCCTCTCCAAGCAGTATGTGCAACTCCAGAGCACCGTGCCTCCCGGCCGCCCAGGCACAACATAAGCCTATTCATAGCTGTGTCCCTCTGAATGCACCCAAGGACAATTGCCTACGAGAGCTTCTTAGTGGCAGGCCAGCAGAAAGTGTTTTGCTGCAGTTAATCACGAACTTGCTTCTTTCCATGGTCTTCTCACTCCTCACAACTGTGCCAATCATTCAGAAGACCTGCAGACCAGGCTTGAAAATGCGAGGTCAGCTTGGGCAAACACAGGGATGCTTTAAATCTTGAAGTGATTGCTGGCTGCGTGGTCAGACTTTCTCCCAGCTCAGCCACCATAGAGACTATGCTGGCTTGGCTGGGTCACTGGAAAATCCCAAAAGGCCTCAGGATGACAAAAGCACACATCCTGAGATCCAGCTGCTGGGGAAGGGCAAATGTCCAGTGATAACTTCTCTGCCCCAACTTGTTTGTTGACAGTGTCACCAGGAGAGACCCATAACCAGAAGGTATGTGAGTTGTGACAGCTGAGAGATGTGGCAGCTCCTGTAGCAAGAGCAAGGGTTCCTCCACGTGGTTAACACATGCAGTACACGCCTGTGACAGGGATTTTTCTTTGCAGGCCAATCTGGCTTTTGCTCCAGCTGCTCTGCTGCCGGGAGCATCTCCCAAAAGCCCTGGTCTGAAAGCCCTGGTTTCTCCGTTCAGCACCCCTCCCTCAACGCCCAGCAGCCCAGGGATTCAGTCCCAGCCCAGTGAAGTGAATGAGACCCCCGTCAGCTTTGATCAACCCCCGGAAGGCACTCAGCTGCAATTCTATAACAAGGTAGGGTATGTGCTAGGATTTCTCCATCAAAGCAGGATAAGGCTTGCTTATTGCTTGGGGATGAAGAGGAAGAGGAGGCCGTAGCCGTCAGTCCTGCCATAGCAGTGTGCACGTGTAGCCAAGGGAGGAGATCTATGCGCCGGGTTCAAAACAGCCTTTCAGTGCCTTCCTGGCTGCCCACCTGCATGTGGAGCTTCATGGTCCAGCAGCTCTAGATGCCTTCCTGGCCAAACGGGTAAAGGGAAGAGCTGAAGTGGTAGGACTTAGTGACTTCGGCTCAGCAGTAACAGGGTGGCGGGTGGGTGCACAGGGAGCACTGTGAGGAGGTGGTGCCATGTGCCAACAAATGTCAAAATTGGCTGAGATGCAGTTTAGGGAGCTACAAAGAGCACGATGGTTTGCCAGGTGTCCCATAGAGTGCACAGCACTTAAAGAGGGAGCTGTAACCTGCATTCACCATCCTCAGCTGAAGTGCAGACTCCTTCCTCAACCACTAAGCTGACAAAAGTAGAAAAGGCCAAGGCATCCAAAGTCAGCAACATCTGTGTAATGAATGCAGCATCTTTGGGTTAGGGTCTAACTTGGACAAGCAGCCATATTTTAAATTGAGACAATGACCTCCAGCACCAGCTTTACAGAAGGAAAGGAGGCATATATTAAGGATTTCCTTGTCCTCTGAAGTAGTCTCTCATGGGTAGGAGCCCTCATCATCCCTACCTTTCAGTAGCAAAGCATCAAAAGTGAGGCCACCAGCATAGCAATCAAGTTTTCCATGGTATTTTCCTCTGTTGTGCCTTCCTGCTTTCCAGTACTGCTCTCTTTGTCTGCTTCAATGTCTGTTTTTCCTGCCTCCAAGGTGCGGACGCGAGGATCGATAAAGCGCAGACCTCCCTCCAGAAGGTTCCGAAGATCTCTGTCTGAGTATGGAGATGGGGAAGATTTAGGGGTCAACCTTTCTTCTCCAGAAAATGGTGGCAAGGAAGACGGGGATGAGGTGTTTGGGCCCAAGGGCAAGGCAGAGGAGGCAGAAACAGGGAGCAAAGAGCAAAAGGAACAGGTGGGGTCTGATGAGAAGCCCCCATCAAGGAGAGGATCCCACAGATCAGAAGATGAAGAAAAAGGGGAAAAACAGGCAGAGAAAGTTACTCCTTGCAAGAGTAATGCAGGGGATATAAAGGAGGAGGTGTGTCGTGGTGCCCCGGAGGAGGTGTGTCGTGGTGCCCCAGAGGAGAAGAACTCTCCCCAGCCTTCCTCTGGAGACAAGGAGGAGAAGGTGTGCGAGGGTCTGCAGGGAGAAGAGCAAGAAGGCAGCGTCTATGAACAGGAAAAGGGGAACAAGGAGAAGGAAGAAGCTGAAACTGAAACTGAAGCAAAGGACACAGACACTGAAGAAACACCACTGGCACCTGAACCACTGCAAGACGCAGTGGGCTTACAGACTGCCAGTGAGCCTTCAACGTCAGCCATGCAGGACCAGGGCACAGTGTAACCATGATGCACAGGTAAGACTGTTGGTCAGCATGATGATGGCTCCTAAAATATCGGTGGGTTTTGCTGACTAATGAAGATGGCAACTGTGACAGAACACACCAACATTTCTGCTGCTCCCCACACCTTAGAAGTATCAAATCTCAGGCCTTGCAGAGGCTGCAAGGCAGGGTATTTAAAACAACCAGCCCTCCTGGGTGGTGTTACAGAGAGAGAGGGGATGGAGAAAATTCTAGTTTCAGAAAAATGGAGAGGCTCTCTGATACCAGGCACCTTGCTCAACTGCTGTTTTGAAAGCAATTTGAAACCACTTATAGTAAAAAGCACTTTTCCCCAGCAGTAACCACATATATACTATCTCAATATGCTTCCTTACATATGTACATGTGTGCACACGTATATATACATGTGTACATAAATATTGTCTCTCTATATATGTGTTTATTTTGTTAGCTTTGCCAGCAAAAATAGTGTTTACACACATACTAGTTTCATGATCAGCCCTCGAAGCATGCAAACATGGGCCTCTGCCACTTGAAATAAAGGAGGACGTCCACTGGCTAAAGAAGGACTTGTTCCATGTTGCTTCTTATGTATTCTCTAACCACTGATAACGTAGCCACAGATGCCTGAGGAAACATCTCATTCCAGCTCAACCACCTGTCCCCTCTTCAAAAGCCTCCTTGGTTTGGCAAGGAGCAACTGAAGGAAGCATGCTGGTGCTCAGGCTGCAGCTTGCCTTTGCCTCCTAGCATGGAAACTACCGAAGTACCCCCAGGTCACAGAATCCCCAGCACTGTATTTACTTAGACCCATGATGATTTTTCATAATTTCCTTACTTTTTCCCTCTCTAAAGGACATACCCAATCAGGGCACAGGAGGTTTAACATGTGAATAGGAGCCATCTAACCCAACCAAGGTGGAAGCTACTGGAAAACCTTCCATGGCAGGAAAGGAGCAGAATATGGATATCCTCTGAGGTCCAGACTCATCCTGGAGCTGAGTGGCTGCTCACTGGCTCTCTGCCTCGCACCATCATATTTTGGGACAGTTGGAACAAGAGACTGGCTTGCAATTGCTTCGGAGTTCAGAAGTGAGGTGTTGGCTGAGGTTCCTTGGTGACACCTGGGGACTGAGAGACCTGATACATGCTGTCCTGGAGCCAACAGCCACCACCACTCCTGGGCCCTCTGCTCCTTCATCCTGCTCCAAAATGTCTTCTTCTCCCCCACATTGGTCTTAGATGAAGTTCATCAGTTACATATGTACATGTATGGTGCCTTTTTGGTAGCTTCTTTTTGAAATATTTTGGGTTTTCAAATTTCAGTAAATAATGTTTTAACAATAGGGGAAAAGTATGTTTTCTCCATATATGCTGTATGGCAGGCAATGTGAACCCTAAATATTGGGAAAACTCTTGGGATATTGATCATAAAGCCTAAAGTCCCTTTGAAGTGGGGGTCGAGCTGGCTGATCCATAAAACCTCCATCTGTGGTAGGCAATTTTTCTGTGTGCTTCAACTTTGGGGTGTTTTTAGTGCTGGTGGAAAGTAACAACCAGCAGATTCGATGCGCAGATGTGTTGTGTAGGTCAATAGGGCAAATTTTCCTATCCACCTCTGTGCTCCAGACCAGATTGAGAAGGGCTGCCTGTCCGTCAGTCTTTTTCACTTCCAGACCCTATTCTATCTTCTGATTCTCTTTTGAAACTTCCAGTGTGTGGCCACTGAGTGCCACTTGTGATAGAAGGCATGCTGGCTTACTGGAAACAGATGATTGACTTTATGTAGGTCAAATAAGAGGTCTTAGATGGCTGAATTTCCAGTCGTACGGCCTGACTGAAAATGAACTGGTGGAGGTCAGATAGCCAGTCCCCCCTCAGTATTTAGGCATTGTACTAGATTTGCATTCACTCTTGGGATACTAGTTAAGTCATGGGTCTAGCAGTTGCTAAGCCAAAAAAGCTTTTACACCTGAAGAGTATTTGTTGCCCATAAGAAATAATTTATGCAGGGAAAGGTAGATAACAGACCCTCACCTGACTGGATTCTAGATGGTAGTGCTTGAAGCTGTATCTGCAATGCTGAATAAAAAGCTGCTCTGACTCAAGGCCATGGGACTCACGTCCACAGCGTGACATGGAGCTGTGGTCAAGTCTGGGCTCGCTGGAGACAGTGAACCAGACTTGTCAGAAGCTGAGCCAAGGAGTCAGCTAGCTGTTAGGCAGTGTGAACAGTCAGGGGTCAGTGCCTGAACTTGCCACCAGCCACCTAATACCCAGCAATACAGATGCAGCCATAGAGACCGAGGGCAGACCCAGCCAGCTCCTCTTCCTCCGTCACAAAGCTCCTCCTAGCAAACGTTAAGCTGAACAGCGTCGGAGGCTTGGATTGTCTCTGTCCCTGTGGACAGGCACAAGCATTTTACACAATACAGCCCACATCCGTCCTTGAGTGGGCTCTGCAACACAGCACTGTTACAAACCCCAAATGGTTTTGAGGGATATCCCCTTTCTGTTTACCACCTCTAAAATCGCGAGGAAGGAAGTGGCTCTGTGCCCTGCCTTTCTTTTTCCCAGATGGGATGGCATTTGCTGAGAGCCAGCGGCATTGCCCCTCCTGCATAGCACAGGCTTGGTGGTAAACATGACCCCCACATCCTTTTGAGCCATGTTGTGGAGCATTGTTACCTTTGAATCCATTTTAATCTGTTTGTTAGAGCTTGTATTCCAGGGCAGGCTGCAATCATCCACAGTACCCTGTTTCTTCTCTCAGCAAAGTGTCCCATCTGGATATGAGTGATTGTGCCTTATTGTATATATAGTTACATGTGTGCCTGTTTAGAGAATGTGTGTCCCAAGCAAGGGAATGGAAATCCGAGGGAGAAACAGAAAAAATAAATTGTGGAATAAAACCAAACCAAAATCCATGTGTTTCCTCCCGGGGATATGAAGGAACCTGAGGAAGGATGCAGAGAGCTGGCAGCAGCAGGCAAAATAGGGGTGGGATTTCCACTGCCATTGGAAGAGTTTAACATTCAGTTTTAATTTAATTTGTGATATTTGTTACTTTTTGGAAACAGCAAGAACCAATGTACTTAATCCACAAAGGACGGTGTTCTTTGGGGCAAGCAGTGACACGGAAGACTGCCACACTCCCTGCCCCAGCCCAGCAAGTATCCAGGAACAGAAGAAAGCAAAGCCATCCAGCCTACTGCCATTTGTCCAACAGCATCCTTGTTCAGGGAAAGTGTAAAAAACCCTAAGGCAACACACACTGATCATTCCTGTGATACTTCCCAGCTTCTGTCAGAGAACAGTTCAGAGCCTTTCTGTGCCAGAAGTTGCATCACCATCTTTCTCCTTGATAGCTTTACAAATTGCTGGAAAAAAGATGCCTGTTTCTCAGCTGAAGGCATCCACACATCCCTCTAGGTGCGATGCTCACTCAAGCAGTGCACAAACCTTGCCCCATCTGCAGGCCAAGTGAGAGCAATTTTTAAAAAGACTGGCCAGCATTAGCTTCGGGACATGCTGCAAAAGCAGAGAATGCACGTGGGCATGTATCTCTGTCTCATCCATACTGTCAGGAAATGTAGGCTTAAGCCCATAAATGGCAGTGTGGTCTTGTATCCACAAGGTGTACAGAGTCAAAAAGTTTTGACTGAAATGTAGACCACAGTTTGGCTTGGTGTATAGGGTGGGGGCACCTATTCAGACTCATATGTACCTGTCAAATTCCTGAGGCAGGAGTGTATAATGTCAGATGTAAGGACGCTGATGGCTGAATGGGAAAATGCCCTCAGCAAGAAAATTCTGATATAATTTATGTAATTCCTTTAGTGTGGACGGTGCCTTAAAGATTAAAACAAATAAAAGCACAAACCTTACTGGCCAGAAGTCCTTTAAATCGGAGGGGAAAAAATGGAAAACAGAGCAAGAATAAAGTGGAGAAAGGAATGCAGCACAAGAGCAAGGAGGCTGTTGTAGGTGTTTGGCTGGGACCTTGTTGTTTTTATGGTTATTTTTTGATTGCACTGTTTAGTGTGAGCCACAGGGAAGTGCTGGATGGGTAAGGACTCAGCGATTACTGATGGGATGGATAGGGGGTTTTTTTTTGAAAGATCTAGGATGCAATGAAGGCTGGTACAGAGGTGTGCAAACATGAGGGGGAAGCTTGAGGGCAACAGGAGGCATTATCAGGATATAGCACATGACATGTGAAGTGGGAGCCAAAGAAGCAGCATGCAGTGGGTCCGTAAATCAAAGGGAACACAGCTGGCTACTCTGCACTCCAACACCTGGGTAACACTCTTCCAGCGCTGAGGCACTTTTCCTGGAAACCCAAGCCCTTTGTTAAGTCATTTCTCTTGAAGGCTCTGGCGGGCCCCAAAGGCCACTGCTGGGGCCACCCGAGGGAAGGGAACCACCAGCTGCCCCGGAGCAGGCCAGGACACCCCCCAGGCCCTCACCTCACCCACTTGCGGGGCTGCCATGACAGGATTCGTACACACTGCCGTACGTGTGTATCCCTCACATACAATCCCGCAGGGCAGGAGGGTGCGGGGCGTGGACAGTCGTGCCTGTTTGTCTGCTGCTCCGCCCCTGCCAGGACAGCACCACCATCCGCGCCCTCGCCCCTCAAAGCGGCGAAGCGTCTAACGGCTCGGCAAACCGGGAGCCAGGATAAACCAACGCCGTTCGGGGGGAAGTGGCTGGATATTTCCTATTCCCCCCTTCCCCTTTCCTGAGAATCCCGCCACACGCGTCTACCGCGAGCGCGAGGCGGGGTGTGGGCGGTGCTGATCCCCTCGGAAGAGGGCAGGAGCGGTGTCTGCGCAGGGGGCGCCGTGGGGGCCGTTCCCCCCCTCCCCGCCCCGGGACTTGGAATCGTCTCTACCAAGCGGAGTAGCGTCGGGG